CAATCAGCAGATCCGGATCCAAATGCTTCGGATCCAAGTAAACCATGGGCGATGCGGTTCTTTGCTTTCGATTACCTAGCTTTAGTTAACCGAGCAGCTTTTGAATCAGTTGGTGGGTTCGACACTACAATTCCGTTCTATCATACTGATTGTGATATGTACGCTCGATTACTTATGGCTGGATATGGGGTTAACGAGCCCCGGCATCTGATGACAACATTTGGAAATGATTTTGCCGGAACGGACAAATTTGGAAGTGGAATAATCTATGATATCGCGCACAGCATTGACGATTTGATTGTCCTCTACCGAAAGAAAAGTACAGTAGAAGCGAGTTTTACGGGAGAGACCACATCGAAAGACGATGAAGCAGGCCGCAAACATGGCGGAGAACAGTCGATAACGGTAAAGCAAGCCCACGAGCAAGAAGAAGCTCACAGAAAAGTGGAAGGAAATCAAAAGCAGGCTGCGACCGATGACGATGACGCACAAGCATATACGAAGGCGATGGAAGAACAAGTCCCTTTTGGTAACAAAGCTGAGGCGCAGAATGAAGGATATATTAAGGCCACTCCCAAGGCAGATGTCGATACTAGCGATTCCGATGTCCAGCAAGCATCGAAGATACATCAAGGATGGCAAGGAGCAAAGGATGCAGGGGGGAAAAGAACCGAGCCCCATGGTCGCGAAGGATCTTTCGCAAGCAGGTTCTTCGGTCACTATGTCCGAAGCTGGCGGATACAAAAAGCGAAGCCTGGGAGATTCCCCAAAAAATCCCCAGTTCAAGTCACTAGAGGGCCTCCATCGCGACGCTACCGCGAAAAAAGTCAACCACGTTATTCTCATCCACATCCTTAGACTCAAACTCTAAGTGGGTGACCGACGAGCCCGGTTCCCCGGCCTACTTTCACCTCCTCCAAGTCGCCACCAACATGGTACTCGCCAAGTACTCCCAAGGCGCCGAAGGTCGAAATGAATGGCAACATCTACAACCTGGAGGTAAAGACGAACCTTATTATCGTCATGCAGAGGGTTTTGAAAAGGCTCTTCAGTTGACTATTGAGATGGGAAGAAGAGTTTATCTCGAGAAGGGGACGCTGGATTGTGAATTGATTCAAGGTGGGTTCACGTTGGATGATGAGTGGAAGCCTGAGGAAGGGTCTGAGTTAGTGTAGTTGTTGTGAATGCATAAGCGGTTTTGTATATCGGCTGGTTGGAGATCGGTTGGATGTGTCTGGGTGGTAGTTCTGGAAGGACTTTGGTGTTAAACAGGAACTTTTCGATGGTAATTAACGGGGAAAATTGCATAGGAAATTTGGATTATTGATATAAGATTTGGGACATAGGCTGGATACCATTTGTATTATATATTATGTTGTTTGGATTTAAGTATATAGAGACTTTCTCTTCGGAACAAAATAGATACGATATCGCAGAAAGCAGTTCATACTCTATATTTTGCATGCTATTTATTGGTCATCTTTCTGTTTCCATTTACTCAATTGGGGACTCATTACAATGATAGTCCATTTTGTACATACCACGCATGCGCATATTCTCCTTCATACGGCGGATGGTAAGTGCAAAACCTCCGAGATGTTAAGTTTCTGTGGTTCACCCTTTGTGAATTTGTTGGAAAAGGTTGCTACAGAATGACGACCTCATGGTCTCGAAGAAGCTGCCCGAGATCGCACAATTTGGAGTCGCAATCTTTTCCAAGATTCGGCGAGCTCCCGCCGCCGCGTAAAATCATCGACGGCTGTAGAATAGTCCTCAATTAGGTCACCGAATTCTCCAGATGCCTTACAATACCCATCACGGTGCTCTAATCGCAGACATTAAATGATTCACCTGTAGGTGATGCAATCAGAAGATTCAAGCTTAGGCTAGATTTGAGAATGTGCAACAGAGATCGACAGATTACCCACATACTTCCAAAGTGAATTCCCATTACTCTCTTGCTCCCTAAACTGGACCTATGCTACTGTCATGTCCACATGATTAATCCCCTCATGAAAAGGAACAACAGGAATGTAACGAATGGATCTGAAAGAGCAACAGAAACTCTGCTATGAACTTCATTTGTCAACATCCAACAGCTGTATATAGATGGGCAGTATGCATACATGAAGACAGCATTCATTTGTTGATATGTGGGGACTATGCATATCTATCTGCCACCTCATATTGAAAAGTTTAAACTGTGCTCCTCTGCCACACATACTCAGAACATACATCAGTGATAGGACTTCCCATGGTTCTATTAGCACCTGGTGCAGTCTAAATTTGCCCTCGAGGGCAAAGAGAGCGATCTTCCTTTCCACGCTGAAATTGTGGGGCTATACAAAAGCGCATGATTGCAAGTACATATTTGATGATTCCCCTCTAATATCACAATAAGTAATCATCAGGATATTTCACGATTGGGTAAATCCATACAATATTTGATTGCATTCTGAACCATTTCATCCAATTTTAGCATTTTGCTTCCGGCATCTGAAATGCTCTGTCCGAAAGTAGCCACTAGGATTTCTTCAGAGCTTCGAAAGATAGAGCCTTTGATGTTGTGAATGAAGTTGGGCATTCGAAACTTGCAAAATAAATTCGCAAATTGATGATGATCCTTTGCACTTTGAAATGCTGCCATCTCTAGTTCCAGTGCTGAGCAGAAAATACTTCAACAAGTTGAATAGCTGCGCGCCGGGCAAAATAAGTCATACAGCAAAGAAAAAACCCAAAGAACCCATCATATCTAGAAATATAGGTAAGCCTAAAGGATCAAGTGATTATTAAATATGAATTAGAATTGGAGAGTGCTATGAGGACAGGCAGATGACTTCAGTATACGGTTCATTTCACTTCTTAACAAGATCACCATCTCGACAATCCAGAACCAGCATGTGTCCCGGTGCATGACCCATAACAATTCCCTCCAAGCCAGCGCTCACGACAGCGTGCTGCGGAGTGACACCACATCCCCAAAATACAGGAACAATTTCATCTTCACGTCCTCCCACCAACACCAGAGGGTACCCATCGTCATCCATGGAGATATCGCCCCAGTCTGGTTTAGCAATGTCCTGAATTCCTAATTTCTCGACAGCATCCCATCCCCAGGCAATCGGTTCTCCATGAGTGGCCAGATACGGTCTTGTTATGTTCCTAACTTTCTCGATATCATCCTTCTTATAGGGTCGCATAGATACCACATATGTACCCTGATCAAAAACTCCAGCCGGGCAGAGCATTATATTAGTCTTGTACATCGGCACATTTCGACGCTGTCGGATATGTTGAGGCATTAGTCCGCCGTCTATGAGAGCTCCTTCGAAACTGTAGGAGCATCCAATTAAGAATGCTACGTGATCCTCTGTCCAGTGTGCCTTTATATCATCAACATGATCGTGCAAAAGCTCGCCGTTTTCGTAGACCATGTATTTTGGAATGTCGATTCGAATATCGACATCCGCAGCCAAGTCTTCACCTGCCACTCCCTCAATCCATGAGTCGAGGGTATTGTATGATCCTATGCTGGCGGATTTGGCGATGAGAGGGCATGGTACCGGATTTCTTTGCAGAGTTGCTCGAAGTCATCAGCGTAGCACGAAGGTAGAACGATAAGATTAGCTTGGAGGTATGAGGTGCAAGAGCTGATGTCTGTCCTGTTATCTCGCCATTACGTGCGCCTGCTCGAACAAGCGCGCCAGACATTGTGTAAGGGTATGAGTAACAATGAAATTTGTATCAATGTACAAGCAAGCGTGAGGAAAATTATGAAAATACCTACCACCTACAATCGTACTTCCTTACCTAAATATATGGCTGTGTCAAGCTGAGGAATGTACAACCTGAGACGGAGTTCAATCTGCGCTTGGTGTGTATATGTAGGTTCGCAAGTGGGGAAATGGCCAAAAGCCACTAAAGTCGAATATACTCACACACCTAATAAATGGGTTTGCTTCATAATGGTCCAAGTTGGATTTTTGAGAAATGATATCGATATGTTGCGCGTCGAGATCTCGTAACAGTTTACAAAGCCTTTATTCACATTTACAATCAGATAACCTCTCGGGTTTATGTCTAAGTCACGAGCTTCTCAAGTAGATTCTGGACTGTAAAGATTGTTTAAAGTGTTCAGTGTAGAGCTTTTAAGGAAGTAGATTTGAGTAGATACTTATCAGCCAAAATCTTTGAACGGACAACATTAGACAACTCGAAGGAAGGGTCAGCTTGGGTGCGGGACAGACATTTGAACCTCGGGCATAGGCGAAATTTAAGTAGGCAGAAACTCTTGTTGTCCCTCCGGACACAACAATCAGCCTCACCTGGATATGAATACAACAGAATGTAAACCCTACGAGAACAAATCTTATACATATGTAACCTTGTCATGATATTCCGAAAAGGACGTATCTTTTAATGGTTCTGGAAAGAACCCCAACGTTCTGCTTCGTCTCCACACTTACACAGTTGTGTGCTGCGTCGATTTCTCCTCAGCCCTTTGGAAGGGCGCCAATTCACATTTTATCCCTCGCAATGAATCAATCGGAGGAGAAAACCCCTGGTCAAAAAGTGTCAAAAGTTTCGTAAGTCTCAATTGGTGATGTGGTCGTACACAATGGCTAAAACCCTCATAGATGTGAGAGGTGCCGGTACAGGAGGGTGAGCTATTTCAGTGATGTTATCCTCGCAATTGTATCAATGTCTGACCATAAAATGCCAGATAAGATGCGATCGCATGCAGCCATGCCCTGCATGCCGGAAAGGAAATCATGAGTGTGTTTATCCTCAATCGGAAAAGTCGAGGTGCGTTCCTGTGCAGCCACTAAACCAAAATTTCTCTAACTCCATTCCGTTTTCCTGAGTCTAGACCAGTCCCAAAAGGCTACGTACAAGCTTTGGAAGGGCAAATAGCCTCTCTGGAACTGTTCATCACCAAACTTGTCGCTGCAGATGCTTCCAAGCGAGACGAAATGTTGGCTAATTTCAGCGCTTCTACGAATCACCTGAGTCTACAGTGGAAGCAATCATCTGCTTTACCAAAATCCGACCCATTAGACACTCCGAATATCCCAATACGTCCAAGGACTGGCCATCTGAGAAAACTTAAGGACGGTAATTCGGCTGAATTTTATGGTGCGACCAGCTTTTCCAGATTAATCCGTCAGAGTATCCAGATGATACTACTACGCCTACTTTACTACCACAGTCCGGAATCACTTCGCCAATTTTGTCACAAACATCGATTGTTGCAGGTGGCTACATGCAAGAGCACTTAGCTTTTTCTCCTCGAAGCGATATTTGCAAATACCTAATGAGGATATTCTTCCGACATCAATACCAATACCACATGTGCTTGTATCGGGAATATTTCCTAAGAGACTTCGATGCTGGTACCGGACCATATTACTCAGATCTTCTCATGTATGCCATCTGTTCGATGGGTGCTCTTGCTAGCGAGAGCACAGCCCAAAGGGAACTTTCCGATATGTTCTCCAATCGTGCTCAAGAACTTTTATATGGATTTGCACTCGAATCCCCAAATCTCACAGCTTTACAAGCTCTCATACTTCTTGGTCACCGAGAAATTGGACATGGGAAAACTTCAAAAGGGTGGCTTTTTTCGGGCATGGCTTTTCGTATCGCCCATGAAATGGGGCTACATCTTGATCCTACTAATTGAAAGGTTCTAATAACTCCTGGATTGACAGGGAAATATTACGTAGAACCTATTGGGCTGCCTTTGTAGCAGATAAGCAGTTGAGTCTCTATTTTGGAAGACCACCTGCTCTTTACCCTGGAGAGTCAGATGTCCACGATACTGTACGAATTCCTTACCCACCAGAATGGAAGTCTCTTCTCAACAAATACATTATGCCAGGCACGTCGGAGACTACATATGAGGATGGCCTTACATTAGTCGCTTCATGGGTTCATCAGATTGAGCTTTGCAAGATCTTACATGGAATGATCACGAAAGTCTTCGAGAATAGAAACTTGAATACTGATCCGACGATCCTCGCGACCTCGATTAGAGTAGTAGATGTAGCCTTGACGAAATGGCTTAAAGATTTACCAGCGAAACTTCAGTGGTCAAGATGGGATGTGGCCGACGTGCCCCTTTGTCCTTCATCTGCAGTAGGTCCGACATGTGAGTGTTTGTTGAGATTTACTAACACCTAAGTATGCAATATCATACGGCGATGATAATTCTTCACCGTCCACCGAGAGCTGCTTTTAAAGAACCGGGAATTGGCGAGACTGAAGATGTTCAAATATGCTACGAGTCATTGGATATCATCATGAA